TTGTCAGCATTTGGAAACTAAAACATTGGAACCCCTAAAAGTCAAGGGTCCGATGCGGGCAACAGAATCTGCTTACCGTGCGGAATGAAAATACTCTCGACATGTTTTTGTTCTGGAAGCTGTTGAAATGACTTATATCTTCGAGTACAACTGGTCTTTGCATCCACAGAATCGGCTTCGGTCCCAATGGCAACACGAAGGGCGAGAGCAGCAAAATGTCGTCCACCTGGAGAAGAATTGGGTCGTTCTGGAGGCCATGACATGAGCAAAGGTCGATCCTGTGTGTATTCAAGGATTTGGAAGACCCTGTCGAGGGGTTGAAGTGAAGGTCGAAGATACAGGGATAATCTGGAGCTTAAGAGTTGAATGTCCTCGGGACCCATCCAGGGCGTCCCACACCAATTTGACCAGTCGGTTTTCTGGACAGGATTATTGTCTTCTGGATTGAGGTCGACAATGGCGTGAATGAAGCAAAGGACGAGCCCGTCGGCTGCCCAGTTGATGACAATATCGACAGCCATATAGTTCTCGTCCACCGCGATTTTCTCTGCGTCGTTCCAGACAGAAACTGGACCTGTGTGTCCCAGTAGACGTCTGATTCGCGACAGACGAGAAAAGCGAACTCTGTTACAGTTCAATAGACAAATTCGGAGCCTGAAGAAGACAAGGTCGAGCTCACCTGGTTACGCTGCCATGCAATACTCTTGATTCTAAAACCTTTCCGAGGTCCACCTTTGCATTCTCAACCTCGTCTGGATGAATAAAGGACAAGAGCGGTTTGCCGATGAGGGCATTGTTTTGTTCCTCAAGATCCTCAGCAAGAGCCGGGTCGAGATAAATGAAGTGAAGGTCGGCCGTCAACAGAGTCCAATAACAGCGAGTTTTCGCTCTTGTCTTTGTCGACGACGCCATGGACGTCGGGGACAAAACCGATCGCGGGTCGATCTTGGTGTTGTGATCTTGATGATCGAGGGAAGTCTTTGAATAAATATTTTCTCTCATGCTGTCAAATGTTTATCAGTGCGCGCCAGAATATCATGCATACATAGTGCCGAAAGACAAACAAAACAACGCAGAAAAATTCAACTATATACGCCCATGTGTATCCTAGAATAATTTCTTCTTCAGAGACTGATCACCAACAACAATGCCAATCGAATCGAGCCAATCATCGATCTCGAGCACTCTTCTTCCAAACTGTCAATAATCCAGGCTGGTCTGGGTCGTCTGGTGGCAGTGACAAAAGCTGGATGGTAAAAGAAACAAGAGCTGTGGCTGTGCAGTGCGCTCCTGCTCAATTATAATAATGATCCGAGTCTTGAACTTTCTTACATAGGTATGTATGCACATCCGCTCAATAAATACCAATTTATTGACGAACGAACGAACGAGAGTATGCAGACCAGAGTCTCGCGATCGCAGAGAGCGAACGCAGCCACCTTGTGACACCTTCGTCACGACTCCCAACACGCCCCAGAATATTTAATTAACCATGTCCTGGGATTCAGCAGCTGCGATTGCCAATCTATATACGCTCCAAGATATTTCCAACATCGAATCTTCCTCATCTTCTCCCGCTTCCCCCACCGATCCAGCTTCAAATTCGAAAAATACACGAAATACCCTGCCATCGACTCCAATCTCCAGACTTTCTGCTCAAAGTCGAGCAAAGGGCTACGATACACTTTGCGTTCCCCTGACTACCGCCAAATGGAAAGACAGATGGTCCAAAATGTGTCTTGTCTCGCCTGAACCTGCCCATAATGCCAGTGATAGCTGGAAACGCGAGAGTCAGTGGAAAAGGGAGAGCAGACGAGATAGTCGATGGTTCAAGGGTTCAATTGCCGATACAGGTCGAGATTTGGCTCTTGAAAAGACTGCAGAGGAATGGAGAAGACGACCAGTCTTCGAGAAGGACGAAGTTACCATGACCACATTAGGTTTGCTCTATTCTTCTTGCTGCAGTCAAAATTAGATGATATTTTGTTAGAGGAAGCTGAATCGGTGGTAGCCATCGTGTCGGAATGGCTGGAGCTCGATGCGGACGACGACTGGGTTCGACATGACACTGAAATCGCCCTTCAACAAGAACTTTCGTATGCGGCTTATCTGAACATTGGTTCTGTCATTCTGCCTCCACCTCATGTTTGCAACCGAGCGCATATCGCGTCTTATGCTCGTATTGTCAACAGTGTCCTGGAAAATACACCTTATGTCCAGATTTCAATCAGACTCCCCATTTACGATGCAGAGGGCTTTGGGAAGGACGCAGCCAAGAGTTCACCAGGTCTCTCTACCTCTTCATCCGTCCCGTCAGGCTTCATTTTCTCAAATGGCAGCATATCTTCCGCTTCATTAAGCGGTTCCCCTTCACGGTCTCCTTCCCCTTTTCCTCGGTCATCTACAATGTCGCCACCCTGGACGCCAACTCTAGTCGTTTCCCCCAGCAAGGACGATGGCTTGGGCCCTGGAATGGCAAGAAAAAGTAGTATCTCGTTGAATGAGCTTGCTGCTGCTGCCACTACTCCATCAGGTGCAGACGAGTTTGACGCGATGTGGGAGATGTGGGATGTTATTCGCAGTATCTGCGGTTATAACACTCGTTTGAGCTTGGGTCTGTTTTCTCTTTCTTCGGTGGTCAACTTTGTTCTGATCTCGACACAGCCTTGGATTTGACTCCTCCGCTTCCAACACCTCTCAGTGTACTCGGTAAATGGGCAGCAGAAGCAGTCAAATACATTGTTATCCCTTCTTCGACATTCATTGCCAACTCGAAAGGATACCCAGTGTTGCCTAAACCAACACAAAAGTTTATTCGAGACAGCATGACAGTAAGCGGACCTCAACTGTCATTCGTTTCTGACATTTCTTCAGCACCGGCCAACAGTTATTCTTTCTGGAGCATCTGCCGGCCTTCATGCCAATGGTGGCGAACCTGCGTATTCTCAATATGTTCGACATCTGGAGCGAACTAGTCCAGCGATCGAAGCTGCCCTCAAAAAAGGCACTGTGGAAAACTTTGCTGAGGGCTATCAGGACTATCTTCAAGCCCCGTTACAGGTTCTATCACTCTTCATTGTTCGTACAGCCCCATTAATGAAGATTTCAGCCCCTCATGGACAACTTAGCCAGCGCGACATATCAGACCTTTGAACAGGATCCGGTCAAGTACAGGAATTACGAAGAGGCAGGTTTCTATGTTCATCTTTCCATCTCATTGCTAACTTTGTGCAGGCGGTATGTAGGGCATTGGAAGAGTGGCCGCGCGAAGATCTCATGTTCGTCTGTGACCTGATACATCGGAATTGTCTGACCTTTCTTTGATCAGTATCATCTATGTTGTCGGTGCTGGACGTGGGCCTCTCGTCGCTCGCTGTCTCAGTGCCATTGGACGGTCGGGAAAAGATGCGTTCATCTACGCCGTTGAGAAAAATCCAAACGCCTTTGTGACGTCCGCTCCTGTCTCTTCCTCGTTTTGGCTTATTATTCAACATGGCGACGTCACAGGCTCCAGCAGCGTAAAGATCAGGAATGGGGCGACAAGGTCAATCTGCTCTTTGGAGATATGCGAACGATAGCGGTGCCTGAGAAGGCTGATATTATCGTGAGCGAACTGCTGGGATCTTTTGGGGACAATGAGCTCAGTCCTGAATGTCTCGACGGGGCGATGCGGTTTTTGAAAGGTCAGTCTAGCTTGCTGTCCTTTCAGAAGTTGATGGAGTGAATGTCTTTGACAGCGGACGGTATATCTATCCCGTCGTCATACACTGCCCACCTTGCTCCACTCTCTTCGTCAAAATTGTACAATGAAGCCCGAGCCTCGAAGGATCCCAAGAGTATGGAGACACCTTACGTCGTCATGTTTCAGGCTGTCAATGTCTTGAGTGGAGAGCGAGATCCCAGTACCGGTTTCTCAGGAAACTGTGGACCTCAGATACAAGAATGTTGGGAATTTGAGCATCCTAGGAAGGATGTAGTGCTTGACGAGGCAGGTAGGTTATGGACCTTGAATATGTGCATGAATAACATATTTCAAGGGCTTCCGCTATCCAACAGTCATAATACGAGGTCAGCGAAACTCAATTTTCACATTCCTCATGCTGGTGTCCTTCAGTATGTTTCTCTCAAGTTGAGCGATCAGATAATGATTGAATGATTCAGTGGCATGGCAGGTTACTTTGAGGCTGTACTCTATGGGAACATAGGTCTCAGTATTCATCCACACCGCAAAAACGAGATATCCAAAGATATGCTCAGTTGGTTCCCCTTGTTCTTCCCATTCAAAGTTTGTTTTCCATTCAGCTACCACGAATAATCTGACACTATCCACAGGAGCCTTTGTATTTACCCAGCAATTCAGAGCTCCATGTCTCAATATGGCGTCTCACCAACCAACGACAAGTTTGGTATGAGTGGCATGCCGAATCATTCTTGACGGTCTTCAATGATCCATCGTTAAGAAACGACGCGATTCCGCGATCGCCGACGCGAGCTCGCGCCTCCAGCTCTTCTTCAATGAATGCTCCGAGTCCATATATCGATGCTGTGGATCTGACGGATCGGACTGTCTGGAGAATGGACCAGAAACCGACCCGGTTCGTCAAGATTGGTCAAACGAGCTTGCATAATGCCGGAGGGCGATCGAGTTACATCGGGTTATAAGTTGTCTGCTAATAATGATACCCAGTCTTTGCATTGTGACGCCAAATATCTTTACCTTGCGGAAGGAAAGATGATCAAACCTGAGAAATGCCTCCAATCGTCCTCGAACGTTGGGGCGAGTTTCGATAGGCATTATACTGGATCACTTGAAGCCTAAGATTGTAAGGTGGTACCCTAGTGTACATACAGGTTGTGGTCAACTTTGGACGAGGCAAAATTCAACGAGCATGCAAGTCAATATTCCAATATTCTCACACTCCAAGAACCCCCTATTCTCCTCCTCCAGCATTCTTTGCACAACTAATATTTTTTTTTTAAAACTGCGAGCAGTCAAAAAGTCTCAGCTGCCGGGATCGAACCAGCGACATTGAGATGAAGCGAATGCATCCAGTTACAGTCTCACGCTCTTCCAACTGAGCTAAGCTGAGATATCAGGAAGCGGTTGCAAAGCAACATGTGGCAGTCGCCTGAGCCATGATGATGACTCACTGTCAGATCTTCTTCATCAAAGCCAGCTGTTCTACGTTAAATGCACATTAGATTAACCAAAGTCCGAAAATACATTAATAACAACAGGAATATCAACTTTTGAGTTCCACGATAACATTTATACTCATGATAATTGTGTAACAGACGATCAGGAAGATCCCCCAACGTCTCGTCAGGAAATAGCCGTTGAAGGGCACAAAGACAAGAGTCATGGCGAGAAGTGCCAGAAGGCCAACGACGCTGACGAAAAGTGTCGTCCCAAAGTGCAGTTCGTATGGCTGATGCGTCTGGGAAATGACATATGACCCAGACAACCCGACGCCTAGTAAAATGTTCAACATGGGTCCGCCAAAGCAGGCCGAGAAGCCCATTATTGGCGCAAAAACCTGTGGGTTTTTCAGCAGCTATTGCGACTGAAGATATTGAACTTACAGCGACACTCATATTGGCGACAAGATCTGCGAGAGAGTTCCCAACAGCAAATACTGTCAGGCCGATGATAGCGTCTGAAAGTCCGAATATGAAACCAAAAGTCTATAAAGGCGTCAGTTTTATCGCATATATATTGATATGACACGAACCTGCAAGACATTTACCACTTCGTCAGCAATGGCCATGATCCACACACATGCGACGAAAAATCCCATCGAAGTTCGGGCCATTCTGAAGGTTGGATTGTCGCCCTTGTCAGCGATGACAGCGACTAAAGCCGCCATAGCTACTCCGACGACACTGGTCGCCAGTAAAACCCACGACAGATACTTGGACGTGCTGAACAAGACGCCGGTACAGAAAAGTGGACCGCAGATGCACTGAGCAGCTGCCAGCCACTTGTTAAACGTGATTCCATGAATCTCTTCTTCAACTTCGTCTTCAGCCACCAGAACTCGCTCTGCTCCTTCTTCTTCAAAATCGACCAGATTATGGTCACTGCCAGTCGTCTTTTCGTGTTGGACGTGAGCATGTCGATAAGGTGTTACAACGACCGGAAGCGTCAGTGTAAGAAGCATCACAGCCGGTGCTGCAAACAGAGAAGCAATCTGGCCAAGAATGCTTTGTGTTCGGAAATGGTGTAAAGATGGAAATATTGTATGATAAATATGGCCCAGGATATCGAAGAATTGCTGGCGCCGAGTTGGTGGTGGTGTTTGAGATACATGGGAATCAGTATCAGGATCTGAAGAAGTCGGTGATGCTGGCGTATGTGAGATGGAAGGAATCGAGGAAGACATTGATGCAGGGTTATCAAAGTAACCACTGGCAGCCAAATTTTGACTTTGTTCGGGCTCGTCAGATAGCGCAGGAGTAAGAATAAACTGGGGCCGGTCGTCCAAAGGGACTGCGCTCGATGTTGAAGCTCGGTCCCAGTGATGAGATGCATCTCGACTGACTGTACGAGAACCTCGTCGGGATTTTGAAAGGGAATGATAATGTCCACCAGCATAGGGCGTGATTGGCGAATCAAATATGCTCAGAGAAGAGCCGGCTGACTGGTTACGCAAAGAAGCTATAACCTCGCGGAATTCAAGGGCACCCACGAGGGAGAATGAAGGCATGTTATGGGAATGCGTCGGAGGCGGTGATGGAGTCCTTGAAGGTCGATATGGTAATTGTTCCGTTTGCAGACGTGGAGGGCCAGGAGCAGATATAGCTCGAACTCTGGTAGGCGTCGTGTCCCCCTCCCCCAACGTCCGAGACGATGAAGATGAAGCTATCAAACGTCAGGTCAACTGTTTGCTGAACAGTGATATAAGACTCACGATCGTCTCTGTAAGGAGTAGTGAAATAGTCGTCCTGGTACTCTGCACGAGCCAAAGCCTCCGTCTCTCTGAATTTCTGACGTCTGCTTTGCCACCAGGTCCCAATTACGACGCTGAGGACGTATATCAAATACAGCACAACCATCGAGGCGGCTTCCCATGGACGTATAGCTCCATCCCATAATATAACCATTAGAAGCCCGACGGCGACACTGAAGAAGCCAACGTCTCGCAGAAAAGGGCCTCTATGGACCTCGAATGGCTTTATTATGCACATGGATCCCACGACGCATGACACAATGAAGGAGGCTGCACCGAGGAGTTCACCAATGGCCAGGCTTCCCGAACCTGCTCGCATGGCAGAAAATGTGGAAAAGACATCGGGAGACCCGTTTCCGAACGCTAAAAAGGTCACCTACAGTGGACCAAATCAGTATTCAGTTGAAGGAATAAGAAACAAGTCTTACACCTGCGACGTTCTCGTCCAGACCTAGTAATTGGGCAATTGTGGCCAGGTTCGGAGTGAAAAAGTCGGATGCGCTGATGCCGAGCGTCGAAAAGAGGAATACGAGCCATAAAAGAAGAGCGACGAATACGGCCGGTCGTAGTGGTACATCCGTGCAAAAGTAATGCTTCAGATAATGAATGGAAAGAAATGTCAGAGGTGCTGTACAACGGTCGTTGACATGGGCGCATTGTAGGTCGGTTGGAAGAGTTATAGGTCGACACTAAATGATGCTAATGAGCTTGCAATGATTACTATCCAATGAACCGACCTCTTTTTGGAGCAGACCAGGGTTGTCCAATTCATAGGCGATCCGTTTTACGAGGCTCTCTGGGCCGTGGAGAACGCTGACCTGACCATACTGGCTCTGGGACCATAGAATACAGTTCAGCGCAAAAAGCAGAGCAAATATCACTCTGGACGACAGCAAGGACATTGCAGCATGGATGATCGAATGAACGAGTAGTATTCCGCTTCCATTACCCAGAATGGAAATCTAGTCTCGAGAAGCGGTACGTGCCTGGCCGGAGCTACACCGCGAAGTTAAACCCAATAAATAAGACAGCACTAATACATTATGAACCATCCATAGGATGATCAGCAGCTTCAGCGACTGCAGATCGTTCGTCGAGGCCCTTGTTATCTTTCCGCAACTCTTCCTCTTCAAGGGCAACCGCGTCGACTAATTCTTCTTCTTCAGGTACTTCATCTTCCTCTTCGTCCCCTTCCATGTCTTCTTCAGGAGCATTAGCAGCGGCTTCATAGTCCATCGACTGGTCTGGATCATCATCCATGGACCTCGTCGGGCCTGTAGAGATGGAGTCGCTGGGAAAAGCAGGTAAAGGAACCGAGGTGAAGGGAGGCGGAAGCTCTGAAGCCTTTTCTTTTCCTTTTATCGATTTGGAGGCTACAGACGGAGGAGAGTCGGGGGCCACTGATGCTGCCACTGAGGGTGTGGGGGTCGCGCCAGCAGTTGAGGCCGACTTGGCTTTCTGAGGCCCAACGATGTTAGAAGTGCCCTTTTTCGTTTTATCTGTTTTGGCTTGTTCCCGGTAGACTTGGTGGATGGTCAGCGTCCCTCGAGACTGATGTATTGGGTGACCGACCTGCAAGTTCACTCTGGAGCTGTTCAGCAAGGTCGCCGAGCTCAATCACCTCGAGAGCCTTGAGAACATCGGAAGCTGAAATGCTCTTGTGCTGTTTCGCGATCGCGACGTCATGGGCCCTGAAAGACGCGTTCAGAGCGCAACGAGTGAAAAGCAAAAGACAACTTGCGTGGCAGCAAGGTAATTGATGAAGACCGTAGAACCCTTGACCAATGACAGTATTGTTTCTTTCTGAAGCTTTGTATTTTCTGGAAGCTGTTGAGGTATTCTGTGAACAAGAAGTCTGACAGAAACGGAAGCTCGACGCACCGCAGACTTGGCGATCTTCGTAACAATTGTTTTTGGGAGCTCAAAGTTTTCTATGCCGTCGGAGACAAGATCTTGCTGAGCTTGGGCTGAAATGGGGCCAGTTACAGCGTCTTTGCGTGGCATTGTGGTTTATCGGTTTATCAGAGAGAGAATTCGCGTCACGGTTTCTTCCAAGTGTCTCGGGCTAACACCGAACGAACCTTTATGTACATCAAGATGGGCAGTCCGGAGCGCTCTGCCTCTCACTGTTCTCACTTTGACCACCATGAGGTCGTCGCTGGCATTAATCGTTCTGCTACTGGTGAGTTTTCACGCCTCTTTAAAGGTATATTAATTCTTAACAGTTGTAAAAAGAGCATATTTGGCTACAGGTCGAGATATGTATTAACAAACACAATTCTATTCAAGTCGAACTTTCCTCTGGGATATTACTCTGAAGGCGAATTCGATTCGAACGTAAGTGCCTTGTTTTGTTCGTGCTGCAGGTCAGTTTATGACGAAATCTAGTGCCAAGTTGTCAAGGCTGACGACCAGTTCCAATCTTGCGAGGACGCTACATTTTGGGTTAGCTCTCCGGAAAACTGAAGAGCAAACTATTAACATTCCTCAAGGAGCTCTTCACCAAGACATCTAAAGAACCTGAACGTCGTGTAATTGTCAGTTGTGATGCGGGTCAGTTCTAGTTCATCTTCTTGCGCTTTCAAAGTTAATCCTAGAGATATAGGGCGCCACGAATGGAATACGGTGATGGGTCCACTACGTAACCCCAATCCTCTTGGGTCTCTGTGGATCTATAAACATGGAAGGAAAGAAGTACCTCAGCGCCTCACTCTCGCAAATTACCCAAGTGGACATGATTTTCATCCTTTGGGCGTCGATATCTACCCTTCCCATGCAGGCAATGATTCCAATATGTTCGTCGTGAATCATGCCCGCGGGCGCTCGTACATTGAGCATTTCACATTGTCTCCCTCTTCCAACATTGCTCAGCACATTCGAACTCTGTCTTCTCCATATTTCAATGCCCCGAACGCATTGGCGCTGACTTCACCAAACTCCTTCTACCTCACCAACGATCATCTGTTTACCAGGCGAATTCCCTACCTTGGACATGTTCTACCTGTCGTCGAAAGTGTCCTTGGACTGCCTTTCAGCTGGGTCATGCATGTTACGCTGGATTCCAACCCCAAATCAGGTCCAGCGATTCTCTCCCAAGAAATCGTTGCGCCATTCATTCCTTTTGCCAATGGTATCAGCAT